AAATAAATTTGTACAATATGTATTGTATTTGATAAATAATTATTTAATTTTTTAAGAATAGATTTGATAAATTCCTGATATTAAAAATCGTTGCAAATATCAACTTATAAGTATAGAATATTTTGAGTATTTTATGATTATAAATTTGAATTTCTATTACATATTCTTGATGATATATAAATCAATATATTACTATGTATTACTATGTAAAATATTTTTTCTATACTTAAAATATTTAGTAAATAATGAGGATTTGCTTTACTCACATTCTATACGATTTTTGTGTTCTAATATGAATTTATTGTTATGTTAAAATTTGATTTAACTCACATTTTCCCTCTAAATTTTCCTTGGAATGAATGTGTGGAGGGAGTAACATAATGTTACATTTGTAAATCTAAATGTTTGTATAGTTTATGTAGTTTAAAAATAGATTTTATACTGAATTACACCTCTATAAAAGTACAAATAGAATATAAACGGATCCTTATGGGCATAATCTTCAAGCCACATATTTATGTTAATAGAGGTTAAACTTATATTGGTGAGGAAGAAAGCATATAAACAGTTCCAGTGTGTTGGGACATTATCATGTAGAATATAACTTTCAAAAAACTGTATACTTGCCTAGATTTTCTTAAATTATTGTTGTTGCTGTGTTTTAGGTAATATAGTATCAAGTGTTTTGGAGGCTCAGCAATAAGAGGGTGGTGAGAATTTTTTTCACTTTTGTTTTTGATGTCTAATGATATCTCCTCTTTTCTCTTTATCTCTCTCTTAGTTTGTAATATAGTACTCCCTCCGTTCCTTAAAGATACATATCCTAGAAAAAAAATTTGTTTCTAAAAGATCCATTTTTTACATTTTCAATGTATGTTTTATTAAATAATTGTAAACTTCAAAAAACTTAATTGTACTAATTGATTTTTGATTGGTTAAAATTATGGAAAGAAGATAAATACAAAAAACTATGCAAATTTATTGTGTTTTATTAAAAGTGTGAAAAAACTAGAATATGGATCTTTTAGGAACAGAGGGAGTATCAATTTAGGATATGCATTAATATGCACAGAAAAAGGTAAGTTTTCTAATTACTTCAATGGCATAAAATTGTAAATAAATTATAAGTTTAAGGGTAATTTTTTATTTGTACTTAAGTTTTAATATATTAGATTGTCCAATTAATTACAAAAAAAATTTGAACTAATTTGATTCCTTAAATTGAACATAACTGATAATGGCTTAAAAGATAAAGTGTTTTACAAGTTTAATGGTAAACCAAAAAAAGTTACAAACTAGTAATTTTAAGACTGTTTAACAACACATTAAGCTAGAGAGGGAGCGAGATAAAATAGGTTTTAGAAGCTACGGTTACCACGTCATCTCTATGAGGGTGATTAGTTGGGTTTTAAGTAATGACTTTAGCTTTAATTTCTATCTACAATCATTTAAATCATCAAGAAATATCTTTCCTTTTATATTTTTTTTATTTAATTTCTACATCTACATTAGATACAACTACATCAAAAACATCTACCGTCTAAATTATACAGTAAAATTTTTAAATCTGCAGTTCAACCAATCACCCCCGTACTTCCCTTGTCCTTTAACTATTATCCACTTCTTTTATTGAAATTTTTGGATCGGCTAAATTGATGTCTCACCTCTTGTGGTTAGAGCATCCTCAATGGTGTGACTCATAAGAATCCTTAAGAAAAAGGGTATTTCGGATTTTGTAAGGATATTTTGGATTATCTTTAAAAAGAAAAATGAAAAAAATAAAGATGACCATTCGCGGGCTGCCACGTGTCCTGGGGACCCGCAAATAGTGTAAGGATTCGTTAAGAAATAGTCCTTATTTAAGGATTTTAAGGATCAAATCCTTAATTTTTTGTGGGATCTACCGATTATTTAATTATTTTTTCTCTAAGGACTCCCCTTTAAGGACTCCCGTTGCGGATGCTCTTATGTGAGTGTTTGGTTCACTATCGTGCGAGTAGTTGACATGATGATGATCAATTAAGGCAAACAGATTCCTCCTTTTAACAAGCGGTTGAATATTATTGACTGGTGGAATTTTTTTTCATGCTTGATGTTCTCTTTTGTGATTCATTTGAGAACCGTGAAGAAGAGAAGACCAATCATTTCTGATGGTAAGGTGATCATTCTCTTCTCTTGGAGAAAATGACTCAATTGGAGTACATGGAGGAGTAATGTGTATAGCTTTCCCAAGCACCAAATACTCCTCTAATTCTTTGGTAAAGGGAGCCGGCTCAATCACCAAAATCCCATGACTTGAGATGGAAGTTTAAATTGGAGAGTTTGCTAGAGAACTGCCTTCGTAAACGACGTCTCTAGTGGTTGCACAAGTTGCCGAGATTTTTTAAGAACATACTTTACTGGTGAAATAGGAGCCGTGAGAAGATGTTATGTCGATTCCACATATGTGCCAAGACATAGCTTTAAAGTCGCAATTGTTGAAACCCCAGCCAGGAGTGTAAGTTAAGGTGAATTCCCGTGTTGGATTTCATATATTCATAAGCCATAAATAGCCAAGACAGTTACACAATATCAGGTACTATGCTATTTACAGGATCATGAGAAGATTGAGTGAAATTTAAAAGATTAGTTACAACATAATATGAAATATTCTAATATTCCCTCGCACTCGAATCGTCGAGAGGGCGAACAGTGAGACTGTTTCTGAAATCTGTAAACAAGATTGCTGGGAGTTATTTTGTGAAAATGTCTGCCCATTGCAACTTTTTCTCTCACGAAGTGTATGTCTATTTCCACATGCTTAATCTGTTGATGCCTGACCGGATTATGAGCAAGACAGACGGAGCTGATGTTGTCGCAGTAAACATATGCTTAGAAATCGGAGAGCCCAGCTCTAAGAATAGATTGCGAATCTAAGTAAGCTCAGCAACTGCATTAGCGACCCCTTTATATTCAGCTTTACACTGGACCTTGAAACCGTGGTTGCTTTTTTGAAGACCAAGACACCAGATTTGAAGCCTAATAGATACAATAACCATAAGTTGATCGCCGTGTGTCTGGACATCCAGCCCAATCCGCATCTGAGTAAGAAACATGATCAGAGATTGAACCTTTCCACAATTGCAGTCCATATGAGCTGGTCCCTTGAATATAACGATGATGCGCTTGAGAGCATGAAGGTGTGAGACTCTCGGATCATGCATATAGAGGTAAATCTGATGAACATCATATGCAATGTATGGGAGCGTAAAGGTAAGATACTGAAGCGATCCTGCTAGCCGTCGGTACTGAGTTGGATCAGAGATTGGTTCACCTTCGTCTACTGTGAGTTTTGACTGGAGATCCGGAGATGTAGCGAGCATATGCATCTTGATTGTGAACATACCACCATTTTTGAATTCCACTTTGACTCCAAGGAAGTAATGTAAGTTTCATGAGTCAAACATAGGAAATTCCTTTTGCAATGTTGTTATGATGGTTTGAAGAAACTGAGAGTCAGAGGCCATTAATATGATATCGTCAACATAGAGGAGACGGTAAGCGTGCTTGTTGTCTTTGTTGAAGATGAATAAAGTCGTATCACTCTTGCTGCATTTGAAACTAAGGTTAGTGACAAAGGTTGAAAATCTAGAATTCCAAGCTCTTGCTTGTTTCAAACCATAGATCGCCTTGTTTAATTTTCACACATGATATGGATACTCATTGTTTATGTAGCCTGGTGGTTGATGCATACAGATGGTCTCATCAAGAACGTTGTGTAAGAACGCATTTTTTACTTCGACTTGGTGAATGGGCCAGTCATTTGCAAGAGACACATCAAGAACTGTTTTGATAGTAGCCAAATTTACCGTTGGGCTAAAAGTTTCCAAGTGATCGACCTCTTCCTCCTGTGACTTCTCATTGGAAACTAACTTTGCTTTATGCCTTTTGAAAGTCTCATCTGCGTTCAGCTTGTCCTTATCAGCCACATACACCTAATCACATTAGCACCAGGAGGTGTTGGGACAAGATCCCAAGTGTTAGTCTCAGTAAAAACATTATATTCATCATCCATTGCAGACGTCCAATTTGGATCAGAGGGGTTTTATATGGCTTGTAGGAATTTTTGAAACAGAGGAAAATAAGGAAAACTGTTTCTTCGGGTTTTTAATGCCATACTTTGAGTTGATTATGGTGCCAAAAACCTAATAAAATCCAGCTCAAATTGAACGGATATCGGAGTCTATTTTCCTGATTCTAAAGATTAAATAATAATTTTTTTGTGTTGGACATTAAAAGGAAAAAAAATAATTGTAGACCGAATCCATGAAGTAACAAGCTAAACTTATCTGAGACTAATAAACAGACAAGCCATGTCAATAAAAATTAAGATCAAAAAGAAGTAAACCCTTTCTCTAAAACATAAATAGAAGAAGTAACTTGAAAATGATGTAACTTATATTTTGTGGAAAAGAGAACATGTTTTATTCAATTTAATACAATTACAAACCAAATTTACAGCGAAAAACAAACACGCAAAGTGATAAACATCTCAAAATGAGTCCAAAAGCTTCAAAAAGTAAGAAATTCAAAAACGCCTTGCTCTCTCACCATGACATGGTACTGTCGAATTACGTAGTCATGATTGCTAAAAAGCTCTTATGCTCAGTGTTATGGAATCAACAGCTGTGGATGTGAACTTGTACGCTTGCAGAACCGTCAAGTCTATTAGTTGTATTGTTTCGAACTCTGCGAACTCAGGATCGACTGTAGGCAAAAACATATTTCGATAATGAGAAATACAAATCACGTATCTAAACAAAGTTGATTTCGCCTTTTTCTATAGAACTCATAAGACAAAATAGATTCAAAACTTAAATACTTTAAAATATATTAAAAATATATAGAGTATATTATTAAAGGGAAAAGTAGAATGGAAACAACTTTAATTTACGTAAATAGCACAAAAACACTTTAATTATCCTATTAGCGGAAAATAAACTCAATTTTTTCTTTTTGTAACTGGAGCTAAAATAAACTCAAAAATACATTGACTTGATCGAATAAAGTTAACACGGTGAAACTAGCATGACATTTAAGGTTTTTTAGTTAACAACGTAGTTGACCCATTTTATTTTATCTTTCTACTAGTTTGAAAGCAAAAGAAAAAGCAGATTCAAAGCTTAGATCTTATTAAATCATTAAAACATATGTATACACATAATACACATAAATCATTGTAACAAAGTAATAGAAACCTGCATTTATGCATTTCACACACACACACACATATTTAAATATATGTTTATCAATATCAATATGACATTATTATGTTTCAAAAAACATAACCATTTAATCGAATCCTTTAAATCTTCACCACAACCAAAACTATACATTTGACTCCAGAAACTGAAAAGATTATGGGAATAATATGTACCTTGACTTTAGGATAAGGGAATGTAGTTTTAACACCACCTCTGCTTCCAAAGCTGAATTTTGATTTCTTCTCAATAGGTTTTAAGATCTGAAAAGAGCAAATCAAATCCTCGTCTACACTCATCATCGCACCTGCATTGTCGAACTCTCCACAGTAATTCGGAGCTGAGAATATCGTCACGAGCTGCTTATTCGCAAAGAACTCAAACCCATCTTCAACAACCTGAGAGAGTAAAAATCATTGCTTGCATCAAAAGTAAACACAAAGAATGCTTTGGACGCAAGGAACTATAACAACAAACCTGATGAGCCCTACAGATTAGGTCAAGATCGAGTCTTTTGAGAAACTCTGAAACTGTATCCGACCCAAAAGTGTAGGAGACTCCACGATCGTTAGGACCCCATCCTCTAACGTTTTTATCAGGGTCACACCACAAGAGATCACAGAGCAAACCACGATCAGGAATATCCGTTGGACGACGAATGTCCCTAATCTGTCTCAAGCTACGCAGCTCCGGGGAGAGTCCACCGTGCATACATAGAATCCTGTCGTCGATGAGTGCAGCCACGGGGAGACAATTGAAGCAATCGGTGAAGATTCTCCAAATCTTGACACTGAAACGGCGTTTACACTCGTCGTAGAAGCCGTAGATACGATTGATTGAAGCACTTTCGTGGTTTCCTCTAAGAAGGAAGAAATTTTCAGGGAACTTGATCTTGTAAGCGAGCAAGAGACAGATCGTTTCAAGGCTTTGTTTGCCACGATCAACGTAATCTCCAAGAAACAAGTAGTTTGAGCGAGGAGGGTATCCTCCGTGTTCGAATAGTCTCAAGAGATCCGGGTATTGTCCATGAATGTCCCCTGTTTTTTACATGCAAAAGATTACATAATAAGAAGACAAGATTAGAGAAGAGACAGCGAGAGGGAGAGAGAAAGAAGTGTACCGCATATCTTGACAGGAGCTTCTAGTTCCAAGAGATTTGGCTGTCTCAAGAAGATATCTCTAGAGACGAAACAGAGCTGTTTGATCTCAGTTTCAGACAACTGAACAATCTTTCCAGGTTTGTCTCTGGCTTCAAGCAGTCTATTGATCACTGAGTTTAAAGCACCAGCGTCCATTTAATAAACAACTTCAATAAACACACCAACAATGAGATGAACACAACAATGACGAGGAAATTATAAGATTTATAGTAAAAAGAAGCTATTGAATATTAGAGAAAACAAATAAAAAAGTTTGGAGATTTGATGTTTATTTTTATGCTAAGCTCTTTGAATAAATGAACGGTGACTTGAAGAAGGGCTTTATAAAGCCGCGTTGAAAGAATATATTCATCTTCCTTTCCAGCAAAAGCCCATGTGTGAACCTGCCCACATTGTTCTAAACTCAACTACATCATGTCTAACTAAAAATGTAAAAACTAGTTTATCGCAACACATTTTTTGTGTGTTTGTTGAGCTCTCGGGGTTTTGAGTTCGTTGTGGGTAACTAGAGCGCAAAAAACGATTCTACCTTCTTCACAATATAAATGTTTTTGGATTCAAGGCCAATTTTTATAAGCATAGTTTGTTGATTGGTACGCATCATATGAAGCAACTTGGCCATCTACAAGAAGAACATATTCGTTATGAAACTACCGGATGTGAGAGGACACCACAGGAATAACGAGATAAAGAATTAGAGAATATTAGTTTGCCTTTTACTCCCATTAGAACCAAAAGTGAGAGGAAAGATTCCAAAGTTAGGAGGAAGCGAAAAGTGATGACTCCTCTTACAACTTCTAGATCATTTCATTTTCTTATTTCTATACCTAATTAAACTTAGGTACTTCAAACAAAATGTAAACAAGACTCATCTATTTCCTCATATAACAAACACAAAAAGGAAAAAAAACAAGTTGAGTTTCCGAAAAGTAAGATCAAACATAAGTACAATGGTAACAAAGAAGTTTTCTCAGTCATGAACAACAAGTTTCTTGTACTCGTCACCTTTAATGGCTAACCACATGACATCTTCAGGATTCACAATACCACCTTCCTCAAGAAACAGATTCAGTAGATTCTTTGAAAACCCGCTAACCAAAGCTACTCCTTTCTGCTTAGCTGCCACGGGTGTGGCCGACGAGTCTCTCAAGTTCCAAAAAACAATTTCCGGAACATTCTCAAAACCACTCTCCTTATACTTCCTCTGAATCACCTCATAATCTGTCTCCCACTTCTCCTTGGACCGTTCCTTAGCTATCTTCAACCGTTTCTGGTAAAGGGCAGTGTAATCTACCTCGGAACCACTCTCCATATCACTGTCTTCTGTGTCAAAGTTGTTGTTTCCCACTGCACTATCAAACTCCATGTCGCTGAACACAAACAACCGCTTGATCATCTGGTCATTAGTCAACTTATTCTCAACAGCAACCTCTAGAATCCGATCAAACACCTTCTGGAAATCAGTGTTCATTCCCCAATCCATCTCTTTCACAAACTCAGTCTTTTCTCTCAGACTCGACCCCGTTACTACATGAAGCTGCGGGTTTTCGCTAAAGGTAATAACCTTCCCTTTCCACGGCTCTTCATTAAGCTCTGAAACCAACAACCCAAGCGCCACACAAACCTCCATAGGCACACCAGACATGCTCCCAGAGACATCACAAACCGCCAACGAGTTCTTCATCTTCCCTTTCTTGGCAAGATCTTCCACCATCCTCGCCCATTGAAGCTCCGCAACTTCAGAGCCAACTCCATCATCATCCCCAAGCTGGCTGATAATCTGGTGTGGAAGCAACGCACCAGCAGCCATCTTCTTCTTCCCAGACTTCACATCCCCCAAAAACTCCATAAACCTCTCGCTATCATGCTTCACAAAAAGCGTCTTGTAATTCTTCATAGCCACAGAAGCAACTCTGTTATAATTCAAATGGTTCCACTCCTTTGCACTCATATACACCTCAGGCAACGCAAGAGCCTTACGTAAGGGGACAAGAACTTGTTTCCTCAACCTATCTCTAATCCTATAAGCATAATGTGACTCTTCCACACCTTCATACTCATCTCTAGAAAACATCCTTCTAGCTATTGCCTCACATATCAAAGTCGTCTTGTCATAAGACGAGTCAACAGAAGGACACCACTTAGCAGCTAAACCAATCTTATTCATCTCATTCGAATTCAAAAACTCCAAATCGGTTTTCAACAAACCAGCAAACAAATCCGCAATACAATCAAACAGTAACCTATAATTACCATCAGAGTTATACCTCTCCAAAGCCTTCTTCGCCTTCTCGAACTCTCTCTGTTTCCTTAAAACCCTAGCCTCTGTTTTATCTACATGACCAACAATCTCCTCCGCGTCTTCAAGAATCAGATCTTTTAAATCTTGGGAGCGAGTCTCTCTAGTCTTCTTGAACTTGCTCTGAGTCCTCTTCCTCCACACACGACTCGTCCCACTCTCAACCTCCTGTTGACCTTCAAGGAGACGATACAGAATCTCAGGCAAGTCTTTGAAGTACCCGAAATCGACTAAAGAGGGGAGATTCAAAGCTAGGGTTTTGGGGTGATTCTCGTGAAGCCACAACGCAGCCGTGTAAAAACCTTCTTTGTCAGACTTCCCTGTGCCTCGAACTCCTCTGAGATGGCATACGAGCTTCAACGTGGTCAACGGGTCGTGAGACCAAGAAACCGCAAGACGTTGGATCAGATCGGTGGGAGGCGTGTCGGGCACGATGTGGAAGAAGAAATCGAGGCATGGGTTGCCGGAGGTGAGAAACGTGGGGGACAAGTTTTCAGTAAGACCCATCGGTGGGCGTTGTTCTTCGAGGGCTAGGGCGGCGGTCTTGGAGATCAGATTGTGGTCGTTGGAAACAGGGGTTTCAGGGGAAGTGGTGGTAACGGGTTTGGTGATCGGTGTGGAGGCGACGGAAGGTGGGCCTAGAAGGGCGGTAGTGGAAGAAGAAGCCATTGAAGAGAGAAGAGACAAAGGAGTTGTGATGGTCTCAAGATTTTCTTTTAGGTTTTGACTTTGGAGGCAGTTTGGAGATCGTATAGCATTTGTGAATACACAATATATATATATAGAGGATATAAAACCCTACAAAATGATACGTGTTAAAAAGGTATCTAATGCATATATATTTGATATGAAAATATAATAAATATTTTCTGTATTACTAAAGCCTCAATTGGTACAACAGATGATAAAGCAGTAGCAGTATGCTGAAGAAGCAGTATGCTGTAAAAATTGGATGTTTTTTTTAAACTTTTTAATAAAATAATTAGCAAAGCATTAGCATTATATAATTTAAAAATTGTCATAATAGCTAGTAAAATAATATATTTCTTTTGAAATATATATATATATATGTACTTATAATATATACTAATAATATATATTTTTATTAAAAATAATGAATTTTATTCATTATATAATTATATTTAAAATGTAAACTCTATTTTAATAATATTAAATTATTTTTGGATATAATTTATTTTGGTATTTTTAAACTAATTAATTAAAATTTATATATAAATTAATTATAATATATATAAAAATTATTATTACTTATTTATTGATAAAGCAGTAAATGACTCATATATAAAATTATCCTAAAAATTCATATATAATTTATTTATTAGTGTCTAAATAATATGTTTATATCGATAATATATAAATATATGTTATGTTATGTTATGTAAAAATAATGAATGATATATATAATTATATAAATTATATTATATTTTAAATGTGAAATATTGTTCTTTTACAAAAAATAATTAAAATTTTATTTTTTAAATTATAAATTTATATTTAATTAAAAAAATATTTTTTTATATTATTAAATAAAAATAAATTAATTATATATAATTATTATTAAGTTTTATATTTTCTATCTGGAAATGTTATTTCAAAAGCTCTATATGAGAGCATTGAGTAAAGAACATTTGTAGAGTATTTGTATTTAGTAAATGTTTTTCTAAATGATTCTTTGTCAAATATTAATTGGATAATACAGAGCATAATTTTTATGCTAATGCTCTACCAATCAACCCTTAAGATTTGGCAACAGATATATGGGAAATGTTATATTGTAGATAACATTGATATTTTGTAGGTGGTGCCACGTTGTAGAGTAACCGTCTTTCTTTTTTACTTTTTTTTTTTTTTTTGGCATATGCGCAACCGTCTTATGTATGTTTTTTTTATTGATTTGCTATACAGATTGTGGTCTATCGTGCACATGCATTAAATATTGGAGAATTGCATTGTATAGCTATCAAACAATTAATAATTTACTCAATATACAATTGACCTACCTTTTCACTGTACCGCGTGCCTTTTATATAATATAGTGATATTGTCCTTTATTTCAACCGGTAAAACCTGCAGAAGAAAAATAAATAAACTAATAACTACTATTTTCTGAAAAATCGTAACTTCTTCTTGGTAAAGCTGGAGAAAGTTATCAGTTCACTCCCAAATTTGATCCACCCCCTCCATTTCCGAAATATCTTTAACTAGGATAAGGATGTATGTCAAAGCTCTTTGCCTGACTCATAAATCTACGGAGCCACCGAGGACGTTAACGGCACCGCAGTGAGGTTCATCAATCACCTTCACCTCATCTTTTTCGTGAAGATCCTTTCATTTACTGTAAGTTCTGGTTGTCGGCTTGATTTCTCTCCACCGTAAATACTTTTATCAGCTATTTGTATTATTTTGGGGACAATTTCAATCGATTGGTCAAATCTGACAATTTTTTCTATGTTGTATGTCGGTTTATCTCTTTGTAAATGCAATTCAAAGATGAATTTAGTATTTTTTCGCTTTGACGGTTTTTCTTTTTGTCTACTTTGAAATCATATTTGTTACTCAAACTAAATCGCGTTGCCAAATCTGGTTGATTGTTAGTTGCTACTTCTATGGGTTACTATACTACTTCAAAATAACATAGTATAACATGGACGTTTGTCTAGCTCTTTATATGGTTAACAGAATGGACTGTGGATTTACTATTCTATTTTACATAGAATGGACTCGCACGTCTTTTATGAACGGAATAGCCCTGTCCAACTAGGTGATGGTAGACAGGCTATACTGCATGGATCTGCATAATATGAAATAGAGTTTCTTATTTGGTAGAGTTTATTTTTTGTTGGTGGAGTATGTTTCATTCTCGGCGTCTTATAGTATGCTTTCCGTTGGTTTACTTAATCATTGGTTTATATGCCTTTCATTAAGGTTTTCTTTGGTTTATCTTTGGTAGTTTGGTCTTATTATTTGTTGTATTTGACCGTTCATTCTATATTGCACCTAATTTATTCTCATTTTCATTATCTTTCTCAGGTTTATCATCAATGATTTAGGCGAACAAGTAAATTGTTTGAAAGTGGATGTGAGCTCATTTTTTCGGAAACAGGTTAATAACTTGTTTGACCTATGTTTGATTGAGTTGATCTGGTCTTCATTAGAGGACGAGCTGACTGCTATTTAGTGTAGTTGTTTATGTAAAGTTACTATACTATGTAAGATATAGTCTTATTTTCTTTAAGTATTTCTAAACTATTTCCTTGAAATAGACAATCTGTTATGCTTTCAAATTTGATATTTTTCTCTATTATTTTGTGTGACAAAAAAAAAAGAAATACTTTTTAGCTTAATTAAATTAGAAATCTGTAGACAATGAATTTTTTAATGAACGAAATTGACTTACCCTAAAAATGGATTCTAATTTTCGTATACTTTATCATTATTGTTTACATAATTGAAAAGGAATAGACAAAGCCATCTATACTATGTATAGAAGTTCACTATAATGGGATTTATTATATTTTTAAATGATTCACCATATTATATACATTCTATTTGGGTTTATACTTCCTTGATTAGGGTTTAGTTTTACTAGTCAGTTGTCTTTCTTGTATTGTTGTATTTTTGCTGGTGGGTTGGGTTTACTATTTTCGTTCCACACTATGGATACATCATTTAAAAACATAGTCAAACATGTATACTTTATATGTGGGTTTATAGTTTACAGGTTAAGGTTTAGATATCCTAATTGAGGGGTTTGGTATAGTTTGTAGCGGTTGTTTGCGGGATCATTATTTAATGTTTTCCTGATCAGGTAGAGGTAATATACTACTTTCTATATATAATAATACATCGAAGGCTAGCATGTGTTTTCGATTTTAAGCGGCTGGGTAATGTTTCTCTGGTTCAATTGGTTTACTATACTACTTGGACTATATGGAATAGAAGATATGCCACATGCTAACCAAGTAAATGTGACTTCAATGTCTAATACTGAAAAATAAATTATAGATTGTATTTGGGTTTATAGGTTCTTGCTTAGGGCTTAGAGGTTTAGGTTTATGATTTACGACAAAATTAAACACTTAATCTAATTGTTTGATAAACTTATACAATGTAGTGTATCCACACATTTAAGACATAGCTATTTTTTTTGTACTGTACTATTCTATATTACAAATGTTTGACTTTAGAGAATACTTAGTATGGAACACTGTAATGAAGATAAAATAGTTTGAACTGTGTTTATGCTATTATATGACCTTCTACTCCATCATCCACTATTTTTTTTAGAGTTCTTTTCTATATTCTAACTAACATATTTGTGTTTTTCCTTTTATGTTATCAGATTGTCATGAATGACTTGGACCTTCCAATAAAATTGTTTGAAACAGGATATGAGCCAACGGGCCGGTAGAAGCTGAGAAGTGTCCTTACCTTTACTAATTGTTGCAATATACTATTTATGTTGTTCTATTCTAATTTCTGAACATAGAATAGAAATATGATGTTATAGTGAATAATTATAAATTATGTATTTATATCATTAATATGAATCTTAATTTATGCATATTGATCAAAATTAAGCATTTACAATCTTTATTTTATAATATCATTAATCACACCCATACAAATATAGATTTTAGAAAAATTTCTCATATTCTATTTATAATGGTTATATTACATATAAAAGGTAGCAAAAGTAACGTGGAGAATCACACACATATTTTGTTCTACTATATTTGAGTTTATGGTTAATATACTATCTCAGATCTATGTTTTCTATTCTATAGTGTTTATGCTAATAAAGATTTAATTATTTAAGCAAAAGATAAGACTGTATACGGTAACAATTAAAGTAACGTGTGTCTTTTCTTTTTCATAAGTTATGTATAGGTCGCATGAATTTTGAGTCAGAGAAATTGGTGTTGACGTCATCTCTTTATCCTTTGTTACTGGTAACTTGTTGCAACAAGGGGTATAACCGGATCAGTTGAAGGTTAAATGTTAGTCATTCAATTACGTCAAAATCACTGCCATTTTCTTAATTACACTTGAGATTTTAGTCATTTGGCAAATTCTCCCTTAAATATTGGAGAATTCTTATACTCCCTTCGTTTCTTTTTATTCGTGAGAAAACTTCGTAGCACACATAAGTATTTTCCAAATACCAAGAACCTCAAACAAAAGCGAACCACCAAATATCATGAGCTTGAATGGCTCTATAAATCTTTAAAAATTTAGTATCAAAATCTTAGTATTTTCAGATGAATATAGAGAAAGTGAAAGAGATGTTATTTTTAGTTCATAAGAGATGAAATAGAAGGAGACAAAATCGGTTTTTAGGTGCAATAAGAGCTTCAAATTGATTATTCAAGGTGGTTGGTGTATTGATGGCAATGTCAATATTGTAAATACATGATGACAATGAGGATGATTGAGTAAAATATTTATTTTTGGAAAAAAATTAAAAAAAAATAATAGCATTTTTATAAATAATCTGGACTATTGGGGTAAATAGGGTAAATCAAAGTTCCAAAAGAAGTATGGGTTAGATTTAAGTTTGACTTTGAGTTTTGAGGCATATTTGTAAGAAGCCATTTATATTGTTTTAATGTATATAAATATATTTCATAAAATTTAAATGTGATCTTAGATATAATTTTACTAAATCTCATCAAAATATACCAAATGTTAAGAAATTTTGAAGATAACTCTATTGTGAATATAAAATATTAAAAAGAATAATGATAAGTTCATACTTATATAAAATATGATACATATAAATTATTAGTTTATAATTTTAGTGGGACAATATATTTACATAGGATTTTTAATAAGTTATTATTTTTATTTTATCTATTTGTATCATATTTTGAATCTACCCAATTTAGGACCAGAGAAAATTAATAATTTATAGTGTTTATTAATTTACAGATTATTAATTTATAGAATTTCTACGGTAATTTATATGCATTTTATCATTTCAAATTATAACATATCCGAAAAATGTGAAATTTTAAGACTAATATAATTGTTTATTTTATGTTAATCATATAAAATTAAACAAAAAATGATGGAGGATACACAAATTGTCATATATATATATATATATATACATATATATATATATACATATATTAATCATATTTGGTAATCCTGGAGTTTTTGTTTATGGAAAGAAGAAACAAATATTTAATGTACATTAACTTTATGATTAGTATAATCCCATATATATATATATATATATATATTAGAAAAATTAACATGTTTTGGTAGTCACATGTCATCAATACAATGATTATTAGAATCATTAGAAAAGTAAGTTGGTTTGTTTAAATATATATTAATCTTTTATTAAATTTACTAGCAAATTAATTATTAGTGTATAAAATAATATGTTTCATTCTTTCATTTTCTGAACAGTGTGTTCTATTTTTTCCTTAAATAAAAGTTATGTAATTATGTAATATAATTAGCATATATATATGAAAATTAATGTTTTTTAATAATAAAGATTTGATAACGATTTTGTATTTTCCATCCTTTACTTAATTGGATATTCTAAAAAAATATAAATAATAACATTAATCATATAATTAAATGCTATATTTGAATTTATTTAAAAGACTATAAATTACAAAAAATGCTATAAATCCCACATTGAAAATTTTGTGATCAATAGTTTAACTTTGTTTTTGTTATAACAACATAGAAACGATCATAAAAATTATATAAATATAAAGTCTCATTTAATATATATTCGGATTGTACATATATATATATATATATATATATTTAAATATTTTAAAATTAAAATATATATCATATATATAATACATAAACATGTTAATTTCATATTAATAACAATAATCTTTTTGTTAGAGAAAATACAAAAAGGTTAATAAATTATATGAGTACAAAACCTCAATTAATAACTACATATTAAAATATTATATATATATATATATATATTTCAATATCATTTAATTTTAATTTTCTACCAAATAAAATAAATAAGCATTTTTTTAATTTTCTTACCAACAAAAATTATCTTAAATAAAAAATAAGGATTGTTTTTATTTATGTGTTTACTCTAATTTAATTATGAACATAATAATTACTAGATTTTCAATTATTCAATCTATTTATTATTGCGTACTCGTAAATGAAAACAATAATAAATAGATTGAATAATCGAAAAGCTATAATAGTTCTACTCCATAAAAGCAGTGAGAAAATTCATTGGAGGCTCATCATGTATGAGTGTATGAACATTCTCTTCTCTTGTTGTTCAGAGCTTCAAAGACGGTGATATTACAAGTTTGAGGTGTTCATCGAGAGCCAGATACTCGGGCAGCAGCACGGGAAGTCCTGGCCATCGAGGAAGCAAGGCCAATCTCACATTCCTGTGATTAGCATTGTTGATTGATAATGGAAATTGATTTTCAAGGATTTTTACACTGGCTAGCGGAATGAGCCAGGAAGGTTAGGGTAGCGAAGCTACCTGTGTAATTTTAATTGGATTATTTTGTTCAAATAGGCTTGCAATCAACTCTTTATCCCATTTACAATATTGGGTTTCAATAAATTTCGTTTCAAAAGAAAAAAAAATGCATTATGAATTGAAAGACAGTATCCATGATAAAGGTGATGAATGCAAGGATGCATGGTTCTATCTCAGAAAATATGTAGGTGAAACATCACTTATCACATCTAATCACTGGATAGAGGTCATATGAACTGTAAATAGATGAAGTACATTTGTGAATATCGACTATTATAGTCATTTCTTCATAATATTGTGCACATATCGAATACACAGAAGACTTATGAGTACATGTGGATACTTCAAGTCACTGAAGGGGGAGATAATTGAAATTGATTATTTTTTTTTTTCCATTTTGAGGAGTAGAAAAAACTATATAATCAGTTTAGGGTTTCATGTTTTTAAATTGTCGAAGATAAAGTAAATTGGGATAAATATCTGAGATTACGGTTTAGGAAAAGATCTGTAGAGAGAATACCTTGATTAGTAGAAACTTAGTTGGCTGAATCAAGATATGAAATATATATACCCTATGGACTGGAACACCCATGATACCAAATCTAAGGATCCCAACTGATTTAATTTCTTAGGAAAGTCTGAAACTAAGCCATAAAGCTTTTATCGGACCGGCTTCGGTTTGAGTTACGGATTTGGTCTCAGGCCTAATCAGATCATGTAGTTTACAATCAAAATATACGAGGATGCTCCCATGTTAGTGTATTCTTTTCAAATCACTATATATATATATTACTGAAAAGTAACGATTTCATTCCGGAAACATTGATTCATAATGCTCAAAATATGATCATACGATCATTACATCTAATTTATTTGCATAAACTAATTATTTCATATGTTTATCGCTTTTGTGAGAAGCGATAACGAATAATATTTCATTCACTTCTTCTTACCCTTATTACTGTTGCTCTTTTTAGGATTCTCTCCATCGTCAAGGAGTTCCTCCAGAACACTATCATCCAAATACTCGAACTCAAAAACTTGCCTTGAAGAAGAAGCGGAGGAGGAGGAAGATCCAGCCATCGTGGCTGCTGAAGAGGCACCACTCCCCATGTTATATTCATGAGGGAAATTCAGAATCGCGGCTTGGCCTCTCATGGAGTAGGCGGCCTGATCATAGGCTCTAGCTGCTTCTTCTGCGGTGTCAAACGTTCCAAGCCATACACGTTCACCATGCTTCCTTGAATCTCGTATCTCAGCTGCGTATTTGCCCCAAGGCCGTCTTCGAACTCCCCGGTACTTTCCTTGTTCGCCTCCACCGCCACCACGACCTCCTTGCTCCATCAATATGTATCGGGGTGTGTATAGAGTTTATAATATGAAACAATGAACAATAATTGTTTTGGGTGTGTTTAACTCGTATACGGGTTTCTGTGTTTTTCTTCTGCATGTGTTTGACAGGATTTGATATAGGAAATTTATAGGCAGAGAAACAAATGTGGGTCCTAATTAAAACCTAATATTCAGCCATCAACATAGTGTAAGAATAACATATATATATTAGAAGTATATACATAGTTTCTAAGCTTCTGGAAAGATTGCTTCACCAATTAAACAAAGTAATTGATTTGATTCTTTCAGTAGCCAATAGTCATATACAATATATATATATATATACTCAAAATGTTTATATAAACTGTGTGTAATTTTCTAACTTATAATGCAAATTCTTTTTTGAGATATAGATTTTTCCAAACATATATATTATTTAACAAACTATAGTTAAATTGTAGAAGACAATTTATATAGATATGTAAAAATTTCCTATTTTTATATTAGCTCTAGACTATACGAGGTACGAGCAATTGCATATGCTAAAAGACTGACATAAACTATCGTTCTCTTTAAAAATAAATTTAGAGCGCATTTTCGAGAAAGTTGTTTTAACACAAATATTGGACTGCCAGGAGTGTATTCAATCTACGATTTGTTTTCAGTAAATTTTTAGATGATTTTTTGTGATATGCCGAATTTACTATACATCACTTTACAATCTCATCTAAAATATAATATTTTATTTTTTTTAACGACTAAAAAGATTTTAAAATACACAACTTAAAATATATTCAATAAAATTAGATTTCCAAATAGTCTATCAATTAACAAATTCAATAACACACTACAATTTAAAATATTTTAAAATTTCTCTTTGAGTAATAGTGGATATAAACCACTTCTATTCAAAACAAAGGATATAAAGTAAACAAAATAACTTATCATATCAAAAGTTATGTTTCAACTTTCAATCTCAAGTGATTAAAGAGAAACTATAGGTCGTGGTGGGTTCATAGTAGGCATGTTCAATCTGGTGTTCGGTCCGGTTTCGGTTCGGTTTTTTCCGGTTTACGGTTATTCGGTTTATAAAAATTAGCTACCATATTGGAACCATATTTAATTTGGTTTGGTTCGGAATTTATACTACCGGTTTTCGGTTTATTCGGTTTTATACCAAATAACATTATTATTTGATTTGGTTTCATATTATATGAATTTTTTAAAAACATATTATCAAAACTATCATTTATTAAAATAATTCTAGGTGTTTATAAATATAAAAATGTGAAATTAACAACAAACAAAACGAGCAACGATTCAGTTTTGTATAGCTTTTCTTATTTTCTCTCTGTTCTTCCAAATAAATTACATGGTACAATCTAATTTCACAATTTCTTACAACATGTAAAATAAAATCAAATTTAGATAATAGTTGAAGAAAATAAAATAAAATTATTAAGATATATCTTCACAAGGTATAAAAAAATAAAAATAAAAAGACTATTCCAAAAAAATAAATGGTTATATAATGTATATATTTATATATTTTTTCTTTGATCGGTTTTGTTCGGTTTATTCGGTTTAATCGGTTATAAACCTAACCATATCCAAATCCTACGGTTTTTATAAAATCATATCCATTCGGTTTATATGGTATATACCAAATCCAAACCATATTGTCTATTTCGGTTCGGTTCGGTTCGGTACGGNGTATATATTTATATATTTTTTCTTTGATCGGTTTTGTTCGGTTTATTCGGTTTAATCGGTTATAAACCTAACCATATCCAAATCCTACGGTTTTTATAAAATCATATCCATTCGGTTTATATGGTATATACCAAATCCAAACCATATTGTCTATTTCGGTTCGGTTCGGTTCGGTACGGTTCGGTATCACCATATTGAACAGCCCTAGTTCATAGGCATCGTAAGGGTGGAGAATATCTTAGACTTTGATTGTCTGCACGTGTGTTGACTAAGAAAAGTGAAAATGAGAGGAAAGTGAAAAAAGAAAAAAAACAAAATTCAGCGTTAGAGAATGTAGTTTTTTTTTTTTTTTTGGGCAAAACTAATGCATTTCTCTTTGCAAACTCAAAAGTAAAACGCTCAGTGTTTTTTTTTTCATCTTCTCTATTAAAAGAGAAGTACCATTTATATCTATTACTAAAATGTCATGTTGGACCATTTCATTAATATGACATATTTAATTATTTATATTAATCATTAAATACATATAATTGGAGAAGTATTTTAATAATTAATAAGATATTAGCAATAAATTTTTTGAGAAAATATCTAACAAGATCTTACTAAGAATTTTAAATATTTTTTTTATAAAATATGCATTATTTAATTTCGTGATTAATATATATATAAATATCTATATGAATGTTAATTAAAAATGAAAATTGTTATATTTTATAATTTAGTTGTATTATATATTATATTAAAATAAAATTAGATTTTGAACCTGCACATCCGTGCGGGTATTTTTCCATTTTATAAAAATATAAAAAAACTTTTCAAATATATATGATTTAAATTCTATTGTAATATATTGTATAATTTATAATCTTATAATTTTAATTATTTTTATATAATATATTATTGTAAGTTTTAAAATAAAAAATATTCATATATAACTTTTTATATAATGTATTTGTTGTGAGTTACAAAAATATATGTTAACATTTTTTGTATAAAATATTATATGATTTAAAAACTTTAATATGTTTTAAAAGTGAGTGATATTTATTTATTTATTTTGAATAAAAGAAATTTTTTAAAATAAAATATTTTCCTTTACCAATTTAATATATTTTATATTCATTTCACATAACATTTTATTTTAATATAATATAGAATATAACTAAATTATAAAATATAACAATGTTTATTTTTAATTAACATTAATATAGATATTTATATATATTAATCACGAAATTAAATAATGCATATTTTATAAAAATATTTAAACTTCTTAGTAACATCTTGTTAGATATTTTCTCAACTAATTTATTACTAATATCTTATTATTATTATTAAAATATTCCTCCAATTATATATATTTGATTGATTAATATAAATACTTAAATATGTCGTATTAATGAGATGATCCAACATAACTTTTTTGTAGTAGATATAAATGGTACTTCTCTTTTAATAGAGAAGATGCTATGTAAAATGAATATTAAATATATTAAATTCATAAAGAAAAATATTTTATTTTAAAATTTTTCTTTTATTAAAATAAATAAATATCATTCACTTTTTAAAACATACTAAAGTTTTTAAATTCTATAATATTTTTATACAAAAAATGTCAACATATATTTTTGTAACTCACAACAAATACATTATATATGAATTTTGTTTTTTAAAAACTTACAAAAATATATTATATAAAATACTTAAAATTATAAGATTATACAATTATACAATATATAACAATAGAATGTAAATTATATATATTTGAAAGGTTTTGTTATATTTTTTTAAATGAAAAAATACCCGCACGGATGTGCGGGTTCAAAATCTAGTTTTAGTTAAAGTACTAGGAGTAAAAGTAAGAGAATGTAGTTTACTTGATTGATGACATTTCAGAATTCAGATGAATCCAGAATAAAATAATTTTCCTCCAAATTATTTATTCCAAAATGACTATTCAGTCACAAGCACCCAATGTTAAAAAGAAAAAGCAACTGCAAAAACACACATATTGCTCGGCTGCTTCGGCGTCAGAGTCGTGAATGGGAATTTCATGTCCTTAAACATGCAACATGTTTGGTTTCTTTTTGTTTGGTCAAAGAACACAAAAAAAATTTCGAGTACCTTTCTCTTTCACCATATAAAATTATAAACTAGTCTTAAACCCATAATTGCAAAACGTGACTCATACCAAAATGAAATTGCTAATCTCCAACAATTGTTAAATATTTATTATCACTAAATAAGGTAATGATAAAAACTAGGATTGGGCAAAAAATACGAACCCGAAAAATCGAATCGAATCCGATCCAAAAAAATAGTACCGAATCCAAACCGAAATTGGTTAAATATCCGAATGGATTCAAAATTTTGATATCTAAAGAACCGAAACTATATCCGATCCGAACATAAATATTTCGGATACCCGATTATATCCGAATTAGATTTATATACTTGAATAAATTAGCTATGTTTAGATTTATTATCCAAAAAATATCGAAAACATATAAGATATTTTGAAACTATCATTATTTAAAAACATATAAAAATAGCAAACAGTAAATATCTAAAATAGCTAAACAATACTCAAAATACTTAAAATATTTATTGATTCTCCATCTAACTATTCAAGTCAAACCAATTTTTATGTGTTAAGTTTAAGTACTTTGGGATATAATATTAAAATATATATGCTATATATGTTTTTCTTTTCAGATTATAAAAAAAATTAAAGTATATGAATTTTAAAATTTTAACGATAATTTAAACAAGTTATTTGAATCCAAACCGAATCCACTAAAATCTGAACCAAACCCAAACCAGAATTTCTAAATATCCGAGTGGAGCCAAAATCATTAACCCCAAAAACCCGAAACCAGAATAGATCTGAACCGAACTCGAATGGGAACCCGAACATCCACCCTTAGTACATACATACATTATAGTTACAGGTTGATATTTTTTAAGTTTTAATCTAAAGAATGATTATGCTAGTTTTTGAAGAATCGTAAAACCTGTACTATGCATCGACATTGATCGATGGACATTGATGGACATTGTTAACGTTATCGGGAGCTGCTACCTCTACTAGTAAAGTCTTGTATTCTTATAGTGAAAGTGTCGGGTTCGAGGCTTAGCAGCTGTGGGGAAGTGATTTAGCAACTGGTTCTCATTACTGGCCTAAGAAAATTTTGAGTCTCGACCCCCGAATTTCTCGCAATAACAAAATAAATTGCTAATGTTGACATAGAATAACTAAATTATGCCACAACCTCTAAAATTCGGACGTGTAGCCACTT